GACATGCAGCAAACTCCTAACAGTGTAGTAGTATAGACCACTACCACTCCACAGCTGCATCCTTCCAGACAAAGCCAGGCATTCTGGTACACGATCCATCAAGGGAACAAGCAGATGATGACATTCTAACACTGCCAACTGACCTGGAGAGGCTTTGCTGTTAGGAGATTAGTCAGAATTAAAGTCTAAATTGCTCTAAGGTGTACTTATGGGATAGAGAACAAAAGAAACACAAAATGCTAACATATATCCATTTTCACATTGATTAGTTATTTTCATTAATTTGCTTAGTTTCATTCTGAAACAAATTTAAAAAAATAAAGTAAAAAAAAATTAAAAACTTACAGTGTTTGAAGATTGGAAAGAAACCTAAATACACCATCAGCAATATGAGTGACTCTATTGTCCCCTAAATTCAATCTCTCTAGGAAACTCAAACCCACAAAGGCAGATTCATCAAGGCGGGTCAGCTGGTTATAGGACAAATCCCTGAAAAACAAGAAACACTGAAAGTCAAAAAATTATTATATTTAGCCCAACCTACAAATTTTACTCCACTGACACGCTAAGTTTAGTGTTTCTAACAAAGACTGAGGAAACAGAGATCTCATGACAACCACGAGCACAATTCCTCCAGTCTGCTCTAGTCTCACACCCTCCCATGAAACACCACTCCACACTTACAGTTCAGACAGTCTCTGGCAGAACTCCCATGCGTCAGGGCTGATCCTCTCGATAGCATTCTGGCTCACATAGAGCTGCTGTAACATTCGCAAGCCATACAGCCACCCTTTGTTCACTCCTGTGAGGTTATTATGTTCCAGCTCTCTGTACAATTACAGAGAGAAGTGAGTAACTCCAACAAGGCGTTCAATACCATGACTGTAAATCTCCATTAAATGCTTTGACAGACACTTTGGCTGAACTCTAGTGACCCAAGAAACTTAAGATCTAGCCCTAAAGGGACTAAGTAGCTACAAAACCAACACATCAAGTAGTACAAGATTCCTGATTCAGATAAATTCTGGTAATTTTGAGTCAAAACAATATAATTTATTTTTAGATTGAAAAGTTTAAGAATGATAACAAAATACCAGTTAACTAAAAAAACTTAAAAGTCTGTACAAAAGCAAGGTGTGTAGCATGTGTAAGGCCTGGGTTCAATCTTGGAGGGGAGGAGATGAAAGGGGAAGAAAGTGAAGGTTGTTTGCCTTTTACGTCACATCAGAAAAACCGTGTATCTCTGTTACTAACATTAAAAGCCCAGAAAGATTCCTCCCAACTCTCCCTGTCCTAGTACTTACAATTCTTCCATATTATTCAAGCCAAAAAATGCTCCATCTTTGAGTTTGCTAATTCCATTCCGTTGCATTTTCAGTGAGCGTAAGGAATCAAGCCCTTGGAAGGTAAGGCCTTCTACAATTTTAATCCTGTTTCTTTTCAGTTCCCTTAAACAAAAAAATTTACAGTTAGAAAATTGGCTGAGCTACTCTAACAGTAACTTAAAAACTACTGTGAAGGAAAACTTGTCTCTTACAATCCATCAGTTTTGTTACTCACAAGAACTGGAGATGAGGCAGCTTGAAGACTTTAGGTGGAATCATGCTAATTCGGTTCCGGTTTAATTTTACCACTAATAAAGAACCTGATAAGTTGTCAAAGCAACCGGCCTCCAAGGTGGTTATCCTATTATTACTCAAATTCCTAAAATGACAAGGTAGCAGCAAAAGAAAAGAAACAGTGATAACTAACCAAAGTCTGTAACTCTGGCTCCAATTCCATCAATTAACTATACACATTTTGACAAAACATTAGACTGCTATCTCCCCAGCCCCCAAATCAGTCTGTTTATTTTCATGTCAGACAAAAGTCATGTGCCAAGGTTGCAACAACATCACGGGAAGCACATATCATGCAAAGGCATGAATACCCAATCATCATGCTTATGAATCAAAAAAGAATCTTAACTGATATTTTGTGTGTGTGTGTGTGTGTGTGTGTGTGTGTGTGTGTGTGTGTGTGTTATTCAATTGAGTATGCACATTGTGTGTAGGTGGGTGTAGAGGCCAGAGCAGGATGGGGGAAAAGAGAGCTACCTATATCATTCTCTGACTTATTACCTCAAGACAGGGTCTCTCGTGGAACCAGAAGCTCAGTCTCCCATGGAATCAGGAATCTACCTATCATTTTGGCTAGGCTGACTGGCCATCAAACTCTCAGGATATGCCTCTCACTACCCCCAATGCTGGAGTTACAGACACACACAGCCACGTCCCTATCATCATAGGGTATCTGGGATTTGAACTCAGGTTCTTATGCTTGAGGAGCCAAGCACTTGTATCCACTGAGCAATCTCCTCAGCTCCTTAACTGCTATTTTAGTTCACAAATCACTTAATTGCTTTCTCCCTTTATCTAAAAAATTAATTATGTTAGGGCTGTAGGTATAGCTCAGTGATGGCGTGAATATGGCAAGGTCCTAGGGGTTTGAACCCCAGCCTTAAAAACAGGGGAAGGTGGGGCATGGTGGTACATACCCTTAATCCCAGCTCTTGCAAGATAGAGGTAGATGGATCTCTGTGAGTTTGAGGCAAGCCTGGTCTACGTGGTAAGTTCCAGGCCTGCCAGGACAACACAGTGAAACCCTGTCTCAAAACAACGGGGTAGAAAGTAAAGCTCCACTTCATTTAGGATGTTACAAAATAGTGTGCATGAATATGCTTTAGAAACTGGCACGCAGGCTAACTATCATCATCAATACACAGGGTAAGCCACTGTTTAACAAACAGTAACAAATCATTCCTATTTACTTTGTACAAAAGTAAATTACAAAAGCTGATTAGGACTGGAGGTATGGCTCATGGGACAGCAACCGCCTAGCATGACAAGATCCTAGATTTGGTTTCCAGTACCAAAATGTCAGCCATCTTGGGCTGACAAGATGGCTGAGCAAATAAAAACACTTGCCAAACAAGCCTAACAACCTGAATTCCATCCCTGGAACACACATAAAGATGGAAGAAAAAAAGTGAGGACTAGTGGCGCACGCCTTTAATCCCAGCACTAGGGAGGCAGAGGCAGACGGACCTCGAGTTCAAGGCCAGACTGGTCTACAGAGTGAGTTCCAGGACAGCCAAGAATACACAGAGAAACCCTGTCTCTCAAAAAACCAAAAGAAAGAAAACCAAATGGGGGGTGGGCTGAGGGGGGAAAGGCTGGGGAGTGGGAGGAGGGAGGACAGGGGAATCTGTGGTTAGTATGTAAAATGAATACAAAAATCTTTTAATAAAAAAAATTATTTTAAAAAAATAATTCAATTAAAAAAAAAAGAAAGAAAACCAAGCAAAGAAAGAAAGAGACAGAGAGACAGAGATGGAAGACAAAAACAATTCCACAAAGTTGTCCTCTGATCTCCACACTCTCACTGTAGGATATGTGTATTACATCACCCCATGTACAATAACAAACAAATCAATGTTAAAAATTAAATCTTGAACGTTGCACTCAATGTCTAGCAATTTTTTTTACTGGCAACAGAGTACACTTTCTTTTCAGGTGAAGTAGAAGAATAAATAACCCCAAAAGCCCAAAGCTAAGCTTGTTTTACAAATGAATATCAAAATTAAATAAACAACAGACATTTGAGGGAATGTGGTTAACCAATGAAGGATAGAAATGCACTTTAAAGTAAATCTAGAAAGCAGGCAGTACACCAGCTACTGCCCAGCCCCCTGTTCCCTTGCAGTTTACTCATAAACTACTCTTCCAATCAATCCGGTAAATGCAGGTCTCTATTTTACTTACAGGTACTTCAGCGACATTTGAGGAAATGAAGATGTCTTGATCTCTGATATTATATTGGAACTGAGGTCTAAACTCTCGAGAGCAGAGTAAAGCTGGAATGCATCCGCATTTATTTCTGATATGAGATTATGGACTCTACAAAACAAGGATTATACTGAAGTTATTGCCAATGATTCATCCCAGGCCACAAGGATACTAAATAATTAGGATAAATAGTATGGGCACTTGAAAAACAAACAACAGTGAAAGCAGAGTGATAACAGGTGTTGGTTCTCCAAAACAGGGATTTCTCTACACACACACACACACACACACACACACACACTCACTCACTCACTCACTCACTCACTCACAATTAAATAAAAGAACTGAAGTCTTAACTTACAAAGAAAGTAGAGTAATATTAGGTGTTGGTTCTCCAAAATATGGGATCTCTGTTAGCTCATTATAATTCATTTTCCTAAGCAAAAGAGAAAACAGTTTTGAAAGATTAATGGTGGAAATTACTTCCTGAATTCTGGTTTTTGGATAATATGCTAGTGTACCCAAATGTGAAAAGGCCTATAACACAGAATAACTTAGACTAATATAAAATTGTGGTTTAGAAAAATTAGAATACTTTTCTTTTTTTAAGTTTTTATTATTTCTAATTATGTGAGAAGAGGAAGGTTGTACAAAATAAGTGCAGTGGCATCAGATCCCCTAAAGCTTAAGTTACAGGCAGTAACTAGTAAGCCACCCAATGTGAATGATGGGAACGAAACTCAGGTCCTCTTCAAGAGCAGTATGTGAGCTTAACCAAAGCTGAGCCATCTCTGCAGCTCTGAGAAATTGGAGATTTTAATGTGTTTCTTCATAGTAATGTTCTACCATTAAAATCAGTATTAAATGCTAGATGTGGTTTTAGCACATCTGAAATCCCATTACTTGGAAGGAACAGGAAGGAGAATGTAAGTTCAAAACCAACCTGGACTATAACAGAAAGACCCTGTCTCAAAAAGCAATAGCAACAACAACAACAAAAATCAGTATTACAAAGGCTTGGACCAGATATGATGACACATGCCAGCAACCCCAGACCTTAGAAGATGGATGGAGGAGGACATGTAATCCAAGGCAAACCTACACAGGACATTCTAGATCAGTCTAAGCTATGTAGCAAGATTCCATCTTTTTAAAAAAGGGAGTTGAGGAGCTGAAGAGATGGTTCCATTGTTAATAGCACTGGGTGCTCTTCTAGAAGACCCAGGTTTGATTCCCAGCACCCATATGGCAGCTCACAACTGTCTGGAACTCCAGTTCCAGGGGATCTGACTTCCTGTTCTGGCCTCTGTGGATCCCGCATGCACATGGTGCACAAACAAACATGCAGCCAAAACACCCATACACATAAAATAATAAAAACACTGTTTTTTAAAAGAAGTGATACATTTTAATTTTAAAAATGTTTCAAAAGGAGGATGTATAGCTCAGTGGTAGGACAGTAGGATAGCTGTGAGATGCCGCACATGGTTGTTGGGAATGGAACTCAGGTCCTCTGGAAGAGCAGCAAGTGCTCTTAACCACTGAGCCATCTCTCCAGCCCTTCCTTCAATTTTTTTCACAGCATTTCTAGATTAAATATTCTCAAATTCAGGCTGGAGAAATAAACAGTCCAAGGAAGTTTGGTGCTTGGTATGCAAACATAAGGACCAAGTTAAGATCCCCAGCACCAATGTAAAGCTGAATAGAGTAGTACACATCTGTACACCCAGTACTAAGGTAAGGGGAAGTGGAACTAGGCAGATCCCTGGTGATCAATGACCAGTCAATCTAGCTGAATCAGTGAGAGTCAGGTCTAGAGATGCTGCCTCAAAAACTAAGGTAGAATGAGGCCAAGAACCTGAGACTAGATAAATCATAGGCCCTAGGGGGAATCTACTACTATTATCCTGTTAAATAAACATATCAATAAAAAGACTCTTAATGACATATTGTTATACTCATAGATCAATGTATCTCTCAACTCTTATCAGAGAAGTGTCTCCTTGAAGTAGACTGTTAATTAACTGATCAACATGCAGAGTTAATAAAATTTGGAATGCTCAGTCCTAAATGGGATATCTGTATCACACTCCTCCCAAAGTTCAGGGATGTACAAGAAAGAGGGGGCAGAAAGATCCTAAGAGTCAGAGGTGGCGGATGACTTCAAGGAAACAGCTGTCTTCTTAGACATAACAGGGCAAATGCACACATGAACTCAGAGACTGCAATGGCATGCACAAGCTCAAGCCAGACAAAACCCCAAGGGGAAGTAGACACTAAGTCCTACTCCAAGACAAAAAGCTACTTACAATTGGTAACTGCTAGGAGAGGAAATCAGTTTTTTTCAATGGAGTGATACTGAGTATATCAACCACACTCAGGGAAGGCTCCATATTCAGGAATAGCCAGCTAACACAAATTAGACTCCATGTTTGTTTAGGGATTTTACTTGTTTGTTTGTTTGTTTAGTTTTTAAGAGAGAAAGAGCACTGGACTAGGTGGCAGAAGTAAGTGGATTCTGTAATTTCAAAGACAGCTTGATCTACAAAGTGAGTTCCAGGCTAGCCAGGGCTACACAGTAAGACACTGTTTCAAAAAACAAATCAACAACAACAAAAACCAACACTGGACAGTGTTGGCACACACCTTTAATCCCAGCACCCAGGAGGCAGAGGCAGGCGGATCTCTGAGTTTGAGGCCAGCCTGGTTTACACAGTGAATTCCAGGACAGCCAGGGCTACACAGAGAAGTCCTGTCTTGAAAGAAAAACAAATCAAAAACAAGAAAAATAGAGAGAACATGAAGTTGGGTGGATAGGGAGATGTGTGAGGATCTGGGAGGACTTGAAAAAAGGGAAAGAATATGGTCAAACTATATGAAATTCTCAAAGGATAAATAAACACATTATCTTAAACAAATAAGGTAGGCAAGCAATTCAGGAGACCTTAATGTACATTTCTGGACTCCACAAGCACATACAAGACCACAAATACATACACACACATACACACACCAAAAATACTCAAATTCATAATTAGGTTATTTCAAAGACTTTAATACTGAATAAACAAAAATAACTTACACTTCTTGTAAAGTTTGTGATTCCAAGCTGATGTTCCAGTTAGACAACCGGTTATGACTCAAATCTCTGAAAGAGGACAAACATATTTATTAAGCTTAGTGGTGGAAGCTGGACCTCAGACAAAAACAAAACAGAACTAGCTAGATACTTCAGTGGTAGAGGGGCCAAGACCCAGGGACTCCCCAGTGTGCCCAGGGAAGGGAGGAATTGAAAAACTAAAGTGGAAATACTGGAAATCCTACTAAAGGTAAATTTTTTTAAAGATTTATTTAGCCTTTAAACCTAGCACTCAGGCAGCAGACTATTGTCTACTTGCCTGAGATGAGATAAAATTTTGAATATATAACTTCTCTACTTTTAGTTATGTGACTTTGGATTGACAAACCCTTTCCCCAAATAAATAAATAAATAAATAAATAAATAAATAAACAAACAAACTGATAGATAACCAACCAAACAAAGATTTCTTTTTATTTTCAATTATGTTCATCTGTGGGTATGTGCATGGGAGTACAGATGTTCATGGAGGCCAAAGGCATCAGAGTCCCCTGAAGGCAGGGTTATAGGCACTCAATGTGGTCCTCTGCAAGACTCCTCTCTTCAAGAGCAGTATGTGCTCTTAACCTCTGAGTTATCTCACCAGTCCCTAAATGTGAATTTAGGGGATGGTGCTGAATTGTCTGTAACTTCAGCATTAAGAAGGTAGAGGTAGGAGGATCACTCAATTTGAGGTTTGCCTGGTGTCACAGTAAGCTCTAGGGCAGCCAGGATTACATAGTAAGATCATATCTCAAAAAAAAAAAAAAAAAAGTGCAACTGAATTTCAGTATTACCAAAAGAAGTGCTTATGAATAAGTCTGTCCAAATTTCAAAACAGATCTAATACTTTTCAATTTTTAATGTGTTTTTAGTGATTTAGAATGTATCAATATGGTTCAATTAAAAAAAAAAGCAAAAGCCAACTATGGTGGTCCAAACCTATAATCCCAGCACTTGGAAGGCTGAGGTAGGAGGGACATAAGCTACAGTCCAACCTGGACTATATGGCAAATTCTTGTCTCACAAACCAACAAGCTAGGTGTGGTGATGCACTTGGGAAGGCAGAAGTAGACAGATCTCTGTGAGTTCCAGACTAGCTCAGGCTACATAGTAAGAAACTAAGATCCCATTTTTAAAAAAAATTAAGTATAAAAGCTATAAAGTCTTCCATCCTTGTCACCAGCTTCCTAACAGACTGTCTTTTTCTAAGAGCGACAAATGAAACTACCGTGTGGTTGCAGCCCTCCAATTTTTTATACAAATGATAATGCGCACATTTTGTCCCTTGCTTTCTTTACTTAACAGTGAGTTTCTTTGTCTCTTGTAGTGATTACATAAAAACCCATCAGCTGTAAACAAATCTGAAGGTAGATGTCTCACAAGTCAAAATGAGAGTTTCTATACTAAACTCGAAGTGGCTGCATATGCAGTGGTGACATCATGCACAAAGGCTAACCCTGGAGTGAGTGCAAGGCTAACCTGTGTCATACCAAGACCCAGTCTCAAAAAGCAAACAAACCAAACTGATCACGTCCTGCAGGGAATTTGGTCTTCCTAAAAGGAGCTATCCAGCTTCTGGAGAAGGTAACAAATCTCATTTGAATTATGTTGATGATGATGATAGTTCTGGCTTAATATTTATTAAGTGGCAGACAGTCTTCTGTGTACTACTAGCTAAATAACACATAACTACAAGGTAAATATATTTACAATCCTCATTTTGCTTACATATAAAACAAGCACACAAACTAATAGTTTGTCAATCTAAAGTCATACAACTAAAAGTAGAGAAGTTATTTATTCAAAATTCCATCCCATCTCAGGCAAACAGTTTACTGGAGTAGAAATTTCACTGAGTTTCATCATGAGTTTAAACTTTTAACATAGAACTATCTTTTTTTTAATTTTAATGATTTAATTTTGTGCTCATTGGCGTTTTGCCTGCATGTATGTCTGTGTGATAGTGTCTGATCCCCTGGAAATTTGTGAGCTGCCATATGGGTGCTGGGAACTGAACCCAAGTCCTGTGAATGGGCAGCCAGTGTTCTTAACTGCTGAGCCATCTCTCCAGCCCCATAGAACTATCTTTTAAAGTATTTTATTCAAAAGAAATTATTTGGGACGGGCAGTGGTGGCGCGTGCCTTTGATCCCAGCACTCGGGAGGGAGAGGCAGGCAGATCTCTGCGTTCAGGCAAGCCTGGTCCACAGAGCAAATTCCAAGATGGCCAGGGCTTCACAGGGAAACCCCGTTTCCAAAAACCAGAAGAAGAAAAAAGAAATTATTTGACCAAAGATTGTCTATATTGCCGCTGAGTGACATCCACAGGAGAACTCTTAGGGAGGAGTGCAATCAAGTTAGACTACCAAGGACCTAGGGAGATGAGTTGTGACTCAGTAGATTAAGATGCTTGTCAAGCAAGTATAGAAACCAGGGTTTGGATCCCCAATACCCACACAACTGCCATGTGGGCCCAGAAGCCCACCTATAATTCCAGCACTTAGAAGGCAGAGACAGGATCCCAAGAACAACCTAGCTAGCTAGACTAAGAGGTTCGATGAGCCCTGGGTTCAGTTGAGAGACCCCTGCTCAAAGGAATACTCCCAATAACAACCTTGGGCCTCCTCACTCATGTGCACACATGTGCACCCACACCTGCACAGATACATATGTCCACACATATGCATAATAATAAATTAACTACCAGGGAGATTTAGGGTTTGGTAAAGCATCACTGGAACTGCTATGATTAAAATGAAAGCCAACTATTCCCTTCAACGATCCCCAAAATGTACTTAACAATCAGTAACCTCTTCTGTTTTTTCTAACACTACAAATATGAGTATTAATGGATGACTGATGTGTAAACATCTCAATGAAGGCTTTATCACCCTGAGTTGTAGATTCCCCTTCTAACTCATGCTACAGGGAAGGAGCTGCGATAATCAATTAATTATTAAAGTGCTTAATACCACCCAGAGCCTGAGGTTCCATTACTGTGGTTGTGCAGGGCTCTCAAGGTGTAAATTATTTACAAAATGCTCAGAGAAATCACAAGTTCTGCAAGCCAACTACAAAGAATTTCTGCAGCCACAAAGATACAGAAGTTTTCTGCTCAGTCAGATATGTCCACTTCTATGTCAATAATCTTTTCTTTTCTGTTTTCAAGAATCAACAGCATTAGCCAGGCAGTGATGGTACATGTCTTTAATACCAGCACTCAGGAACAGAGGCAGGCAGATCAAGGTCAGCCTGGTCTACAAAGCAAGATCCAGTACAGCCAGGGCTACACAGAGAAAACTTATCTCAAAAAAACAAAATAAATGAATAAATAAAATACTAAAACCACAATCTAAATATTGATTCTGAATTCTGACTCCATGAGAAAGATAGCAGTAAAAAGATAGCCCACCAAAGACCTGGTCAGTATATTGGGGTACACACCAATATCATATTTAGTATTCCAGAATCATCCATTTAACACCACTTCTAAGAACCTAGTCTACAGCTGGGCAGTGATGGCACACGCCTTTAATCCCAGCACTCTAGAGGCAGAGCCAGGTGGATCTCTGTGAGTTCAAGGCCAGCCTGGTCTACAGAGCAAGATCCAGGACAGCCACCAAAACCACACAGAGAAACCCTGTCTTGAAAAACCAAAAAAAAAAAGTATATATATATATATATATATATAAAATCATACCATTTTGGAAAACCATCCAAGAGGTAATTGTACTAAAAAAATCCTAAATGAAACCTACATGCTGTTAAGATGAGTTAAATAACTTATGAAAATTCCATCCTATGGAGTTCTCTGAAGCCAGTTAAAATATACAACACATATTTATACAAACTACACAGTGGCTTCATTTACATTTTCAAAAGATACATTTGTAAGACGCCTTCCCAACAAATAACTGTGGTTTTTCTTAACTGTGACTAAAGGACTTTTACTTTCCACCTTAAATGTCCCCACTCTATTTTAATATTTGACCATGAAAAAAAACTGTTTAAAAACAAACTCACCATAAGTGGTCAAAGGCCTAAGTAACTGAGAGCTCAGCTGTGGATGAATCATCCATCAACCTCCCCATTCCCACACAGCCATCCAAGGCTCAGAGAGCATCTCCAAGGAGGACGTAGAAGGAATGTAAGAGCTGGTGGATGGGGAGGAGAACTATGAAATGCGAACTTCCAGGCATGATGTGGCTACTGCACTCACTCACTTGCAACTACCGTGGCTATCTGCACACCACACCAGCCAAAACTCAGGCATGAATGGGGAGGAGCACCCCAACACCATGCCCCAGCCTTGGCAGAGGAGCCAGGACTAGAGGAGGGAGTCTCACCCACAAACACACATAATTTAAAAGAATAAAATACACTTTTAAAAAAATAAAGTAAGAGGCTAGGTGTAGTGATAAACACCTGCAGTCCCA